TTGCTTTGTAATGAGGACATCCTTTTAGACTCAGGATCATAAGATGACATAGCCAGTTATATGCCAGTGCTTCAATTGTGGATACCTCCAAGAAGTTTTGAACTTTGTCTTTTTGGCAGAACAGCCTCAGAAGGAGGTGAGGAGCATAAGTACACAAAATGAAATGGATGTAGTTAAGGACCCTGTCAACCATGATCAAGAATATTTGTGTGATGAGAAAGGAAGATCTATCAGAAGCATAACGATGAACTTTTTCATAGTTTGTGCTTGCTATTGTGACATTTATACCAGTTGTAGACACGCATTTTGTTTCTTTACTTTTCCCTTTCCCACGCCCCTGCGTTTTGTAGCATGAAACCTTTTGTAATTTAATCTGTGCTGCCCTCCAACAAAACATAGACAATATCTTTTGTTCTTCCCACCCTCGTCTCTTTCACTGGTTCAAAATCAATTACTCCTCTTAAATTTCCCAGTTCTGATGAAAGGTCACAAACTTGAAGTATTAACTCTGTTTCTCTCCACAGATGCTATCAGACCTGCCAAGTATTTCCAGTATGTTGTACATTTGTTGATTTTTATTTAGGCAATCAAGAAGCATCTCACACTTAAGTGTATTATGAAGTCTGTGGTCTGGGTTTCCATATGAGTTGTCGGACAGCCCTCTTGTAAACGCGAAGGTAGAACTTTTTGTCTTTATTTTCTTATGGGATGTGGGCATCACTGGCAGAAGAATATAAAAAATAGGAGCAGGCCATTCAGCTCTTCAAGCTTGTTCTGCAGTTCAAGAGGATCATGGCTGGTCTGCCCTGGGCCTCTCTCCTCTTTCGTGTCAGCTAATCAGAGCCCTCAATACCATGATATTTCAAAAATATGTCTGCTTCCCTTTTAAATACTTTCAATAATTTAGTGTCCACAAGAAATGTTCACTCCCTTCTAGGAGAGGTAATTCCTTTGCATCACAGTTTTTAACGTGTGTCCTCTTATTGTGTAACTACATCCCTTAGTTTGATATTCCTCCATGAGTAGAAATATCTTCTCAAAATCTACCTTGTCAAGCCCTCTCAAAATTTTGTTAGTTTGATTTATTGTTGTCATATGTACCAAGATACAGTGAAAAATGTTTGTTTTGCATGCTATATGAGCAGACCGTACCATACAAAGTGCATCAAGGTAGCAGAACAGAGTGCAAAATACAGTGTAACAGCTGCAGAAAAGGTGCAGAGAGAGAGAGAGAGAGAGAGAGAGAGAGAGAGATCAGAATTAACATTTGAGGTCAGTTCAAAAGTCTGATAACAGCGGGGAAGAAGCTGTTCTTGAATCTGTTTGTACATGTATTCAAACTTTTATATCTTCTGCCTGACAGAAGAGGGTGGAAGAGAGTTTAAGATTCTTATATACACTAATAAATAAAGGCTTAAACTCCTTAACTTTTCTTGATAAGTCAACTCCTTTGTCCCAGGAGTCAGTTTAGTGTCTCTCTTTTGAACTGTATTCAATAGTAGTACATCCATCCTTAAACATGATTTATTAAAGTTGTACCTGATATCCAGGTGTGGCCTCATTTAACACCCTATACAGTTGTAACAATTTTTTTTTTAATAGAATCCCTACAGTGTGGAAGCAGGCCCTTTGGCCCAACAAGTCAACACCGACCCTTGAATCATCCCACCCAGACCTATGCCCTTATAATCCACCTAATATACCCATCCCTGAACACTACGGGCAATTTAGCATGGCCGATCCACCTAGCCTGCATATCTTTGGACTGTGGGAGGAAACCGGAGCACCCAGAGGAAACCCATGCAGACACGGGGAGAATATGCAAACTCCACACGGACAGTCGTCCGAGGGTGGAATCGAACCTGGGTCCCTGGCGCTGTGAGGCAGCAGTGCTAACCACTGAGCCACCATGCTGTCCTTCCATGTTTTTTTTTAAACTCCAACCCCATAGCAATAAAGGTTAAAGTTCCATTTCCCTTGTTAATTACTTGCAGCACTCTGTGCAAAATTTTTGTGTTTCACACACGAATACTCCTATCCTTCTGCTGCACTTTTTTGGAAGACTCCCTCATTTAAGTAATCAGCTTTTTGGTTCTTCTTGCCAAAATGCATTACTCCATACATTAAACTTCATCTGCCAAGTTTTCATACACACACTGTACTCATCAATACCCCTTGATTATTGCTCATGTCTTCATCACAACGTGCCCTGCCAGTTTTTAGTATCATCAGCAAACTTGGATATGTTGCACGTTGCCATCTCCTCCAAGTCCTTAATATAGATAGTAAATAATTGAGGCCCTTGGACTAATCTTTGTGGAACCACACTCCAATATTTACATCTTTCCAACCTGAGAAAGACCCATTAATCCTACTCTTTTCTGTGTTAACCAATCCCCAATCTATGGTAATACATTACCCCCAGTTTTAAGAGGTCCTATCTTGTACAATAATCTTTTATGTGGCACCTTATTGAATGCCTTCTGGAAATCCAAGTGCAGTACATTTACAAGTTATTTTTATTTTATCAAATCTGCTTCTTCAATATTCAATAAACTATAGTAAATTAGTCAAACATGAATTCCCTTTTACAAAACCATGCTAACTCTGTTTGATTGCATTAAGCTTTTCTAAATATTCTGTTACTTTCTTCCTTAATAATGGACTCTGTACCATTTTCCCAACAACAGATAACTGGCCTATAGTTTCCTGCTTGAACAGAGGCATTTCATTAGTGGTTTTATAATCTGCTGGAATCCTTCTAGAATGTAGCGAATCCTGAATATAAAATGTTTTTTGACACCAATGATGCAATAATATTTGCCGACTGAACATTCACATTTAAAAAGCCGACACTTAAAAAAGATTACAAATAAAATTTACCTAACCCTTGTTTCTATGATCCAATATATACTTTCATTGAGTAATTTAGTTTTTTTTATTAATTATTAATGCTTTTTTGAAATAAATAGGGAGTGGCACTTTTTTTACTGCCTCTAAGTTAAAGTATTAGCTATTGGACAGTACAGGCATACCCTTCAATATGTTGAGAATATTTACTTAAGTGAATCTATGCCTAAAGGAAATTCTAGAGCAAGTTTTTAAACTTAATACTGTACAGGATGTAGGACCTCTGAAGTGTGACAAATTTGCATACAGCACATACTTTCAATACGTTCAGAAATAGGAATGTATGCTTAAATTGTCAGGAAGTGCATCCAAGCCTAAGAATTTTAACATACTATTTAAAAATAAAGAACACATTTGCCCTGCTTAACCATCATCTTGCAGTACTAAACAGATGGAGTTCACAACTTGAAACATCTTGCTGTTTTTCTAACATTTATGCATTCCTTGTAGAATCGTGACCAAATTTATACACTCTGTCGTCTAATGCAGTTTCAAGATCTGTCTATTAGTTTGGTAGTGCAAATCTGCTTTCTATATCCCTGTCATATATATTATCTTAATTACTTCATTACGCTACTTGGACATTAACCTAACCTAGTCTAAAATTAACTATTGTGTTTTTTTGAATCATCTCGTTCTAATTCTAATCTGTTGTACATGCATCTCCAAATTGTTTTGGACAATGTGTAGTCATTTGCATTTGTCAGTACAAAGTGTAATTTGTATAGCTATTTTTGTAAATGTTTAAACCGTCTGGATTGTGCTATGACTGCAAGATTGTCAGATTTGCCAATAATGTTAACACGCAAGGCACAACTTTGTAGATGGACGTTGCTTGTTTTATGCAAATAAGCAACAACCTAGCAAATGAAATTTTACAACAATTAATCCTAGCTTTCAGGGTGGGAAATGCTTCTTTCTCTCACTGCTGATGGCCCATTATCAAATTTTTATAGTTCTGATGAAAGATTATTCCTGTAGGGCTGGAAGTTTGTTTTGACAACAGGACCCTGATGATGTAATCAGATTCATGCCTCAATCCTGCACTGCTCTGCGTAGTCATCCATCACAACTGTCAATGAAATGACACGTTTATGGCCAGTGTGCAAATATACCATCCAAGTAAGGGCTGTGAGCAGCCTTTTGAAGTTGAATGGCATCCTCTTCTGATACAGGTAGGGCAAGAGAGGTGCAAGTGGGACATGCCCTTTCACTGCTTTTTACACATTTCTAAAATTGAAATGGCTGCATCAACTAGACCACCATTGTGGTACAATAGCATGGGTGTTTATTGGGCCATGGTCTGCATGCTTGAGACTGTGTCGCCAGGAATCTGCTGGCCTTCACACACACTTCTGGGAGGATAACCATCACTCTATCCACCCTCCTCCCTTTATAAATGGCCTGGAGGTGAGAAAATCCAACCAAACTGGTGCACTGTTTGACACCAGGAAACTTTGACCTTGTCTGTCTTTGTCACTACCTCCCTACTACTTTCCAACACCCAGCCTGAGATGTTAACTTGTCTCTAGAAATGCTAACTGAGCATTGCCATCATTTTTTTTGTTCAGTTTTAACACTTATTCAATCACAGTTAGTTTAATTGAAGGTTTTATAAGATGATCTTTATTAAAGGCTCCTGAAAATTAAATAAACTGTATCATTGTCTCCTTCAATCTGTATAATCTTAAATTGTTCAGATGTGTCCATTTCACTTAATTCACTTCTATTGACTATGATTTACTTTAACCATGTGTATTACAAATCAACTGTGTGAGACTTCCATTTGTTCAAATGTTTCTATTTAGTTTGTGCGCTTGATCCCACAATATATAGGAGATGGTTCCTAACAGACCCTAGATAGAATTTACATCAGATGGAAAATGTGATTGTTAAATGTGAACGACAACGTCTTAATACTTTGATGTATTCTATGTTAAATCACAGACAGGATACCAATACAAAAATTACAAGATTATATTGAATATTACACACCCTTAAACCAGTGTTGTATCAAGCTCGGATGTTTTTGGTTACAGATGTGCCAAAGTATTTATGTTTAAACTGTTACTTCTTTAATATAATTTCAGATTCAATGGGGAGCATGTTCTCTGGTGCTGACGGGCAATGTAATCATCTTTGCAACCATTCTGGGATTTTTTATGGTTTTTGGCACTAATGACGATTTTAGCTGGCAGCAATGGTGAGAGATACACATGCCAACGTTTGCTGGAGGGAGAATGTTCACATCTGGAATTCATCCAAAAAAAGACTGCGATAACATCAACTACTGTCCAACACCAGATACGCTGATTTGTTACATTTTCCACTGACATTTGATAGTCTGCACAAGTGTGCATTTGTAAGTGACTGTATCCTTCTTTGTTAGCCTAAATATTATCTCCATATCAGGACATGGTTTGATTTTGCAATCCCTACTGGTGCAACATTAATAACCATATCATAAAAATGACGAAATCAATTGCAACTTCGTAGGAAATATTTTTGAGAAGAAACAACTGTTTGATTTGTTACTTTGTAAGCTTGGACGTAAAGCTTTGATGAACTAACAAAAGGGACTTATTTTCTTTTTAAATCAAAGTATTTGCTGCCTTTTGTGTTTTCAGTGTACACAAGTGGTGCTTGTGTGTACAGTAAGATTTTAGTGCTATACTATAAATTTGGTTTCAGTGTTGCATGCTGTATTATACTTGACCTTTTACTGTGTTCATTTTTTACGCAAAAAATCAGTATCAAGTCAAAACTGAAACTTGTACATTCTACTTGTCTTTACAATTGGTGAATTGTTTACTTTTATCATCATCGTTCTCAGCACATTTATGAAAAGTGTTAAGTCAGTGTGCCTAGTAAAGCTGCTGAAATATACTTTTGAGAATTGTACTCATCTTATTGATAATTGTGACTTGTGTTCTATGCATCTTAAATATCTTGTATTTCTGTATGTTTTTAATGTGAACTGAAATTATAATATTTTTGTAGACTTTGAGAGCATGAATGTCGATGACCGGAGGTCCACCCCTTTAGTTACCCTAACTCAATTATGAAACTGATTCACTTAGTACCATAACTTGCCAGTTACAGCTCAACCCTTTACTAAAGCCCTACAGATAAAGAAATTCCTAACTACTACTACAAAAGTCCTTTTTCTTTTGGTGGCAACTCTTTGCCACAGCCTGTCAACCTGAGAATAACCTGGTATCTATCTGTTAACCAATTCTCAATTCATGCTAGAATATTACCTCCAAATTCATTTGTTCTAAATTTGTTTACGAACCTCTTGAATGGGACATAACTGAAGGTCTACATCCACTGATGGTCCTTATCTATTCTGCTAATTACAGCCTCAGAGCTTTAAGAAGTTTGTCAAACATGATTTTTATTTCATAAATCCATGTTGATTCTGCCCTATCCTACAATTATTCTTACATGATGAGTTATCACATCTTAGATTGCAGCATGTTCCCACTTACCAATGTAATAATGTCTCTCTATTCTTAAATAGGGGGGTTACATTTGTTGCCTTCTAATCTGCAGGAGCTATTATGGAATCTAACATTTATACAACAAAACAGATGCATGGATTTTAGCATAAGTACCTACCTTACCACTACTGGTTCATTCAAATAGGAATAAGTGACATGAAAAGGCCTGAAGCTGGCCACCTCTCATGGGCACTTTGATTGTTGGCTGCTGTTATCACCCTTCTGACTGAGACACTGCCTACATAGCAAGTCACTGAGAACAAGGTTATCCCTACATTGGTCCAGCTGGACCAGTCTATTGCAGCACCTGTACTGCATCGAAATATTGAGGAAGAGAATCCATTATTACCAGAGACAAATGTGCAGCCTGTCTTCTACCTCAGTCTCTGGTTGCTGTGATCAGATGGTTTTCAATTGGCAGTTTAATTTTGGGGTTCCTGTAGGTGTCTTTGTCAGGCTTGTGCTTGCTGCTTAACACTACAAAAGATGATTTATTATGGTGCCTGAATATGTAATTCCAATGAGACTTGATTTGATGGTTAAGGAACTAAAAATGACGTGTGACAACAAGGTGTAGAGCTGGATGAACACAGCAGGCCAAGCAACATCAGAGGAGCAGGAAAGCTGACGTTTCGGGTCTAGACCCTTTCTGAAGAAGGGTCTAGGCCCG